GGAAAACGACATGTTGATAAGCCTTGCTATGCTTGGAGCTAAAATAGGAGCAGCAATACGCAGAAACCTGGCGCTGATTTTATCGATACCTGCAGCCTTGTGAGGACTGATCCCCTTTATAATCTGGAGCACCTGAGCATTGCTTATGTCTGGAACAGAGAAAACCATATCCGGATCTTTGCAGGACTCCACAAAGTTTACCAACTTGGACAAGTCTGATGGCGTATTTCCGAGTCCGGATCTCAGATTATCGGCGATTAAGGAAAAATATAAATTAAAATGCTCCGCAATTTCTGTAGCATTTTCAATAGCCTTGCCATCCAACTGAAGTTTACTAATCCCTTTATTCATCTTTTCAGAACCAATCTATGTTTTTATCATATTCCACGTTGCTTTAGGGTTGTTTCGATTTTCTTCGAATGCATTCTGGTAAAACTCACGCTTTGCTGAGCGCAAGGCAGAAACAGCCTTGTTTCTCGCCACTCGATAATTTGCCCACTCAGAACTATTGTCCGATTTCCCAGCCACCTTCAACTGGATGAGTCATAATGTGCCATGAGTGAACTAGTCTGCTGTGCAGGCGTCTTGGAGTTAGGGCGAGCTGACGCGATCACATGTTTGATTTAGAGTTCGAGTTCACGGTCAAGACGTGAACAAGAAGTAATTTCTATTCCCTCGCTCCTCCCCTCTCCTTGCTTTTGACCGTGGCTCACCTCCTTGGTACAAATGTCTTCTCTTCCCAGCTTTCCGCAGCCGCAAAAATCACAGATGATAGCTACAATTACCATCAAGAAAGTACTGAGCACTTACTCGCCAAATTTACGCTTACTCTACAGGATGTGACTGGACTAACATTAATACCGAAGACATTCAGATTGTACATACTTGACGTTCCTCCAGTCTTACCTTGCTATGCGTCCACTCCCCTTTGTAAGTCAAACCACTGACACAACACAATTTTCCAGTCCCCTGGATTTCATTGTGGCAAAATTGACCTGAGAATTCGTCTCCATTCTTGAAGGTAATAGTACCCTAGAAACAATTAAAAAAACAAACAAACAAACAAACAAACAAACACACCACAAATTGTTGAATTTTCCAAAATGTATGGATGTAAAGAGCTAAATTTTAAGCTCAGTTAACAGTTTTTGCGACTACTGTGGGACAAAGAACAAAATCCGAGTACCATTCAGAGAGAATTGTTTCGCTGAGCAGGAAGCTCAAAATTTACCCTCTCTATTAATCTATACTTTAAAACTTGATGCTTCTCACAGCCACCCCCTATGATTTGGCTTTGGATTGGAAAATCCACAGCTCTGAGGTTTCAGTTGATTTGTGGGAGATTATTCACTTTTTGTTTTGTTTGGCGGAAAAACTGTTATCACTGGTCATAAAATACTGTGATATTACAATAAGATGACAATAAATGTGGTTATATTTTGTATAAACATTACCTGACCATGCATATCACCCTCGTACCACTGTCCACGGTAAATGTCACCATTAGTATATTCCATTACTCCATGGCCATCTGAATCAAAGTGGAAAAATAACCATATTGTGATTGTATTCCAACCCTTTCCTGAGTTTCATTTTCAACCACAGAAAATTTTGATATTTTTGCCCTTCTATATATAAAGACAAAAGAAGGATTTTGACTACCAAAGAGCATATTCCCTCGCAAAAGAAGCACAGAGTACCATTTGAGGTATTCTATCTAATTCAAAATTTAACTTGAAAAATCTCTCAACATCGTTTAAACAATGTACTGGAATGTCTTACAATAGGGAGGCCCTCCTTTTACATTTACACAATTTGCATTCATAACAGTCAACAACCCACCAAGGCTAAATTACACAAGTGGCAATTAGATGCTTTCTCCTCAAAAAAATTCCATCGACTATGAAAAGTGATCACAACATGTGAATGAAAAGAAGAAAAAGAAGCCTCTAGACAGTATCAGAGTCAGGGATAGGTCATAAACCTGCTTTTGTATAAAAATTGTCCACATACGCTGTTTATCATCCAGCCATTCTCCTTTGTACTTGTCTCCACTGTTGTATGTCAACTCTCCCCATCCATTGCGATCATCATCCTCCCAGTTACCCTAAAACAAACCAAAACAAAACAAAAAAAACCGCTCTTCCTTTAAAAAATAACTTGCCAGCATCCTGTGTTTTATGTAAATGACTATGCTTAATAAACTCTACACCCAGTAGAACCACACCAGTCGATTGCCTTCTTATTAAATTCATTACAAGACAATAATTTCCACACAAATCATTTCATTGATAATTTTTTCAGTTGCTGAGGAAAAATGAAAGATACCTGATATCTGGCTTGATTTGGCCATGAAAGAATGCCTTCACCAGTTCTCTGAAAGAAAAGGAAAAATTCTAATTATTTTCATTAGTCAATATTCTTCATTGAAGAAATATTGTAAGTATCTTAATTTTATCAACAGCCAATAAGTATTGTTTCTGTTTGGGTGTCACAAAAAACGGAAGTTTCTGTAAGTGATTTTGTGGAAATCAGGTGTTCAGCCAGATTAACTGGTTAACTATCAAACCCAATAGTTATGAAAAAAGGGAGCAAGTTAAAAGAAACTGTCATGCTGCATTGGTAGGGGTATTTTATTAAGATAATTTGGTTTAATCAAATGAGTTGATAATTGATGTAAATTGGCGACCATAAAGAGTTTCTAAAGCTGAAATTTGGAGTGTTAGCCTTCCATTAATTGTAGTCTTCTTTTTCTCATCATACCTCAAGTAAATGCCATTATGATAATCCTTGATTGGGGAATGATAGAGATACAAAGTCATGCATGTGTTCTCTGATTATTCAAAAATTGTTTTACTCCATATGAAGTAAATGCACACTTGTACTGATTCCCTGATTGTCCGAATGGCTGCATTGATAATCTTAAGCTTAGAGACTGACCAAAACTGAAGCAATTATTGCTCTCTGGCTCAGTGAATGTTAGCAAATGATTCATAACTTAAAATGATTAAAAACTAGATCATTGGATAATGTAATTCAAGACTTTTTATTGGCTTAGCCATTATGGTATATCAGCCAATAATTATACCATCATCTACAAATATGATAAGCATACGTGTCAGCTTAAAATTAAAAGGGAGCTAAAAATTTAATAAAATTTAATAATTTAATTCAACGTTTTTAATAAAACAATTATTCCACGAGCGCTTGTTGGATATGAGATGATTATAGCCAATTCAGCACTATGCACCTCATTGGCTATCTATCATCTCCTATCCAACGCGCGCTCATGGAATAATTGTTAATTAGTCTATAATTTGATGATTTGCAGCTCCTCCTTTCACAACTAGTTATTGAAAACAAAAAAGAACTTGAAACTACCACAAGAAAACGATTGCTACTGAACAGTATTTAATCTTTTCTTTCACTTACTTTTCCTGATACAAAATTACCACAAAAGACTTGTTCATTCTTGTATTTAAAAGTAGCTTTGCGTGTCTCTAAATATCAACAACAAACAGAATTAGCACTTTTTCACAATTTAAAGACTAAAATTACATGTAGCCATTTTTTTATAATAAAAATAAATAAAACAAATGGCCATTAATCAGATAAGAAAGTGAATTACATTACAATGTAACACAAGGCTGCGCTCAATACGCCTAAACTGTAATCAAGATGTTCAGTTCACCTTGTTACATGCAAATTTTATACAACACATGATGATCACACCCTAATAATAATAATAATAATAATAATAATAATAATAATAAATCTTTAAGGAGGAAGCGCCTGTCACATAAATACATGGTTTTCAGGGAGGTACTCCGTAAAAATAAAAAGTATTAAAAGTTAAAATAAGAAATACAATTGTCACAGATCTAAAATGGCGTATATCTAAAGTTTTATCCATCATTTAAAGTATTTATCCATTAAGAATCTTGTAAGGTTTTCCTTAAAAATTGTGCATGGCATTGGCTTTCTTAAAAATATTGGGAGGGACATCCAGTCATTTATAAAATGGAAGTAGGACACCCTCTTTCCGCATTCTGTTTTAGGTTTAGGCAATCTAGGTAAGTAGCCATTTCTAGTGTTGTAGCCATGAAAACTTCTCCCTGAATAAACAATACCCATTTGGCCTTGTTTAGAGTCACAAAAGAGGGCAATAATAGATCTGGTTGATGCTCAAACAAATAAAACAGTAAGCTTAGTATCATTACACAATATTATTTACTTTGATCTGTAATTAATTTGGCCAGCACCCTACACTAACAAAGGTCTAACAGGTGTCCATTTAACAACTGTTTCTGTACAAACATACCAATTTCATATTTGTCTGTTGCTTCCACTCCATGTAACACCATAGCCATTCTTGTCCTAAGCTTCTGCAACCAATCTTTCTTTTCTGTCTTAGTTCCAGCTTCTATAATGTAAGACTGCTCTGGTGTGTAAATTTCAAGAGAGTCTTCCTTTCCTGAGAAAACAACAGTTTATATTGTTTGAATTCAACAATCAATTACTTCTAAACACAGTTAATAAGGTGTGCTTAAGGATTGGAGAGTATTTTATCCATGAAGGGTATTTTTTCCATGATTTTTTCCATGACCTTCTCTAGATTGCAAACAGGTATATTTCCTCTACTCCAAAATTCTTTCCCATCATAATGTTAAAGTAAAAGTAAAGCCTATATATACAATGACTGAATTGCACAGCTTTCAGTCAGAGCTTTTCCAGCATTAGTATTTTTAAGGTTGAAACAGGAATTTGTTGTGTCAGTTTTTCAAGGAAGGAGGAAAAGTGGATATCTTGGAAAAACCCATGGTGTGAAGTACAGAACCAACCACAAACTCAACTCAAACATGTTTCCAGGTGCAAGAATTGAACCCAGACCACAGCAAAGACAGATGGCCCCTTCCAGCCATCCCTACCTTCTGTACTGTCAGAGTAAAATTTTCCCAATAACTCCCTACAACACCCAAACAGGGCTGAACCACTGATCAGGAGGCAAGCCTTCCAACCATCAAGCTAAATATGACAACAACAATTAGTAAAATATATAATTATATATCTTATTAATGTGAGGGTAGAGCCTACCTTGGCATAAAGTGCTCAATGCTGCATTAGCAGAGCTGGGTATACATTAGTTGATGAATCAAAGAGGACACATCGATTCTCTGTTACTCTGAGTTTCACACCGAAGAGCTTGTCTGTCTGACGAGCACTTCGGCGCAAAACTCAGAGTAACAGAGAATCGATGCATCCTCTTTGATTCTTCAACTAATGTATATATCTTATTAATAGATATTTTCTTGTGTAGTATCGCTGAGGATTTTTATGAGTTGTGCCGTATTTTGACAAGCCCATAGGGCGAGTCAAAATACAAATAACAAGTAAAAATACTACACATTATTATGTGTAAACCTGACTTAAATCCAAGTGTTCTGAAAGTGTAATAAGCAGTGTTGTGATAGCTGGGAAATTCAAATTAACCAAGTTAGGTCCCAGTGCCATATAATAAATTACTTATTAACCTTGCTTGCTAGAGCTGTAATGGAGAATATTTGGCGCTCAGTCATTTTTGCTGTGCTTGATCTGTACTGCCATGACCACTGGCCAATATTTCCCAGTACAATCCTTGCACTCGTTAGTAAGAAGTTAATATCAATATTAGTGTTAATGTTACCTGATTGTGGATTGTTGCCTTCAAGATCCATGCACCACAATGTGGCCAGCTCGAGCGTTTGCTCCACTTCACTGGTCTTGCTGACACCTTTCACAGCAAACACAACCGTGTCACCGAACAGCAAGCACTGGACAGAGAATAAAATGTTAGAATGGAGGAATTGTGCATCAAATACAGGGGGAATATGGGCCTATAAGGTCTAGTTCATGGAGGGACATTAATCAACTAAGAGTATTCCTTTTGCTAATATTTTCCACTTATGACACATGGTACACGTAGTCCATCACCAGTCCTATTCTCTGGTGTTTAGTCAGGTTTCCCCCACAATTTGTTGTTACAACTAGTTATTCCTGTAAGAATTACCAGACACAATGATCCACCCAGGGTTCAGCAATTGCACCCAGGGAATAACAAGTTCCAATGAGTTAACATGTAATGAACACATTATCTAAGCAATCAAGAAAGCTTCAAAGATCTTGTACTTACAATTAAACCAAGCTAGACTTGCATGTCATAAAACAGTATTGTTCTACAGTACTTGAATTAGATCAATTTTAAGTCACATAGTATGGATGTGCAGTATTGTGCAAAAGTTATGCAAATTACTGCCTAAGAAATTCCTGGCTTTGTGATGAACCTTGGTCCAAAATGAAATTTGCAAGTTACATTTCGGTGAATTTTCAAGGCAGCTAATGTTAGGATTCATCAGAAATTTCAGGGATTACTTCACTGAGGATGTTAGTGAGTCTAAAATTTCAAGAGAAAGGTAATTCCTCATCAAAATTTGCAAGGAACTTTTCAGAGCAACAATTCACTTTTCAATATTCATGCAAACCCTGTGTTTATGAAGGTTAAGTACTTCATATGAAAACTCATTCAAGAAAGATATCTAAAAGAGCAAAAACTGTTTCCATGAGCATGTGAACAACTAAAAGTTCAAAAACTATTCAAAAAAGTTCCATGGATCTCTAGGTGAGAAAAAGTTTCCACAGGATTTTAAATCTCATTTCAGCAATTCTCCTTACCATCTGTCCTTCAATTCTTGTGGTGTTAGTTCAGAGAATTTGGTATTAGATCAACTACTCATCCCCTAATTCATATTTTTCTTTGTTCTCATCACTTGTCTGCTTAATATTGTATTGATAAGATAAAGTAAAGTAAAGTAAAGAAAAATTCAGTGTTGGTCACTCATGGGATTTAAATGGTTAACACTTTTATAAAATTGCAGTTTTAAATTTTTATCACCAATTTTACATATTAGATTACTGTTTGCATGTTATCATCCTTAGTATATGACTATAGTTTTTGGAATTAGAGCTTTATCAGTAGTATTGTATAACTGTAAGTATACAATTCATCCCTCAGGCTGCCTATGTATTATCAATAAACTATTCACTACCCACTATCAACCATCCACTCAAAGCATAACTTTTGACAAGGGGTTAAAGAATGAATATTCAGCATCAGAGGGTAACTTGTGAATGAGTAGAGTACCTTGCGAGTCTTCTTGCCTGATAAGACCACATCAGCTTCCTTGATTAAAGCCTGACCTTCAAATGCCTGTTGATGTGCATAATGAGACAGTATTACCAGGAGAACACATCTACACACTCTGTAGAAACTTCAGCGACACAAGCAGCATAAGAAACTCTTATCATCAGCATCAATGCCATCAACAATAATTATTATCAGTTATGAGGAATGATTATTAATAAAAGGTGTAATTTCTCGATATATGCACCTCTAAGAACATATACAGTCACTGATTTCATAGAGGCAACAGCATTTAGTAGGCTTTTAAAATTGTGAAGCTCACCTTCAAGCCTTCAACCCTTGATCGTAACTCTACCATTGCTTTCTGGCCAACAGATGTTTGTAATTTATTGTTGATGAACACTGCCACATTACTCTTTAGTGGGAAAACAAAATCAAATAAAATAGTTGTTACTGCAGTCCCAAGAGCTGCCATAACAAATTGTAAATCTGAGTATATCAAATAAATACACTCATTACCATTTTAGTCAAAGCCTTGTTCAATTTATTTCGGTCTGGGTGATTCTCTGGCGTCCTTTTGTAAAGATCCTTAAAAGAAAAACAAAATATTTTGCTGCATCAACTTGTCTTGTATGACCTTTTCACTGCCAAGATCTTAATAGTGATTCTCCTTGCTGTCTGCTAAACAATTCTTATTGTATTAGTTAGGAGAATTTAGTATTGGATCAACTAGAGATCCCCTAATTTAAATTTTTTCTTTTTTTCCATCACCAGCCTGTTTGATATTAATTTTTATTCATTTCATATTCTGAGGAGAAATTCTTTCTTGTTCACTCATATAAGGCAAAAGTGGGTAATATCAATTTGGTACGTAAAGCAATTGTTAGGAATCATTGACAATGTGCTCACCTCCAAAAGGAGAAGATACCTTGGAATTCTTTGTACCACTGTAATCAGGTACGCAGGAAGATTCAGCCCTGGCTGACAAACTGGGTGTTCATAACATGACTGAAGAAAGTTATAAATACAGTTTATCTATTTTGTCACTGAATAACAAAATCATATCTCAGTCAAAGGTGTACAATGTACAAAGACGTATGATCAAGAAATACATGTAAAACACAATGATATTTGGTAGTGCACTACTAACATTTAAAAACACTTCAAATTCCTTCTTCTTGATCTTTTGCTTGTAAAGAGCCTCAGCAGAATCGTAATTAGTACAATAATTGGCATAGATCTTCATTCTTTCAATAACCTTGAAAAAGGAAAACAATTATTAACTATTGTTAACTGAAGATTATTTTCAGTAATTGGACTAAGAGAAGACCAACTAAGTAATGTGATTAGTTTGAAGTTATCTCAATTTCTCCATAATTTAATAAAGGGGTCCACTTAGCATGTCTTTCATATGGGTTACAGCCAGTCTACATTTACATAGTAAGATCATGGTTTAGTTCAAAATTAGTCATGCAGAATTCTGTACCCTAATTGTATTCTTTAACATAGGCTTAAATGCAATTAACATATTAAAGAGTGTAATGTTTAACCACTCACCTCATCTGTGAAAATATCTCCAACACACTGGTCTTTATCATGCCAGTGGTTGATGAGATAAAGAAGATTAAACAAGACATCTTTATTGATTTGGAAGATCCTAATAAAAATAAATACAGAACAACTTTTAACTCCTGTTTGGAATTCATTTATCATTGTTTTCTTGGATCAACAATCTGAAAAGCAGTGAACATAGTGGTACATGTATGTTGAATCAACAATTTATCAACAGCCGTATGTCTTGCTACATGGACCAAAAGATTAAATCGCTCTAAACAGCAGTGTATAAGTCCCACCTTTTCCCCAAAAATTTTCATCACAAATCACCATTATTGAAAATGTTTCAGTCTGTATAGCAAACTAACAAGAACTTCATAAAGAGACACAAGGATAATTTGATCATGGCTTATGTAAGTTTGGTGGCTCCTGGAAGAGAAATTTTTGTTCATAAGCATACACTTAATATAAAATTATTTCTTGCTGTTGAGAGGTGTTAAACCTTCCTTGTTAAGAGACCTTTTAACCAGTTTAAGGTTGTGAGCTACCTTGAGAAGCTAATTAAAAGTTATTAACTCAACAAGGAACCTTGCTGTGTACTGTGGTGAATATTAATGCTTCAAAAGCTACTTATCAATAAGTCTCTTTCTGCCCCTTCTCCTGATCAAATGTTTGACTTCTAAGCTACAAGTGAGCCAATCAACAAACAAAAGATTTCCTATTGTTTTCTGTAAAACTATTGAAAATCAGACAGGAATGAAAAAATACTAGTTGAACAATACCAGAGTAAGATCATGCAGACAAATGTCTGAGTCAGCAGATATGATTTCCACATTATTAAGTACAGCTGAAATTATAGGCAAGGATTCAAAGTATTCTGTTTTCAAAGTACCCATGCTTGTATGGTGTGTAACTCACTAACTTAAAGATGAAACAATTCATCCAAATTTATAAGAAAACATGGTTCAATCACAAGTTTTTAGTACTCAACATACACATTTTGATAATATCATCTTTGACTCACTCTTTAAGGTTACCAAACATTGTTTTAATCTCCTTTTTTTCCAACAATTTGTTTTCTTCACATGGTTTCAAGAATAACTACACAAAGATGAAACAAAAAGGAAAAAATGTTGATTAGGAAAGAAAAAAAGCCTATTCCAATGTGCATATGTATAATTATACTAGGAACAAGGTAGAAGAAGATTCTATCTTTTGACCACAGTGTGAGGGTTTTTGGGTGTGTCACTATGGGTCTTGCGTTTCAATGGTTCCACTCACTCTTGCTAGAGACTGCAAGCCTCATGAAAGATAATAGGAAGACAGGCCTAAGCTCCAAACGAATTCCATTCCGTTTCTTTACTTGACATCTTTACTGTCACAGGGCTAGCACTCTAAAGGTCAGCTTCAGAACTCTTTGTGACAGCCAATTTACATTTAAAAAATCACCTGATGTAACTAATGAAGTTATCTTTTTATACCCACATCTGATGCAGCACCACAGTTTCTTTAGACACTGTACATGTGCTTACCTCCTCTATCTTGGGTCCCAGACCCTTGCCAACTCTCAGTTGAGTCTGTTAGGTTATTGGCAACCTTTCTGGTTACATAGCATACACATTGCTATCTCACTATACCTCACCTGGACAACAGTTTCCAGCCCCCTGACATAGCTCCTCTCTGTGGTATATAACTCCAAGGCTATCTGTGCACGTCGATGAATTGGAAAGCCCGGAAAGGTGGCTGGCATGTTATCTGTGATAAGGGTTACAGGGTCCTGGTGCTTTAAGAAAAATTAAAACATCATTGACAATCAGACATTACTAGTTTGTTCAAATCCATAATTTCTTGATTTTTACTCTGACCAGTAATTGCTTATAATAGTAGTGCTTGGCGGGTGTGGACCTGCTACTGCACAGCCAAGTGAAACCCCAAAACTACCATACTCTCAGTCAAAAGTGCATGATTGGGTTCTTTTACCCTTAAACCCCAGATAGGATTAACATGAACAACTCCTCCCTTGAATATCCAAACATTATCCTACAAACAGGTAATGAAAATACTCAAACATACCAGCTAGAGGTTGTTATCTTAATCTAATAACAAAATTAATTCTTGTGACTAATTTACAAGGAAATGTCTAGAGACCAGCTCAGCGAATGAACAATCAGAACATGGGAGTTGAAAGACTAACCATCGTATACTAATTAAGCTTGGTAGTGAAGGTAGTGTAGGATCTTAGCAGGCGGAATGTAATCAATCATTAATTAGGGTGTCTCTTTTGTGTTGTTGCTGTTTCTCGTCGTCTATTCATAGTGATTTTTCCCCGGTTAGTTAGCTTCTGCTGTTTTCTATATCAAATAATTTCCTTCATTATTGTTTCTTTCACAATAATTTGCATACATTAATTTCTTTGTGCATATATAAACCTAGTTTTCTCTGTTCAGGGCCCTCTTTTTTTTCGCTAGTAGTGCTAGTCACAGTTCGCTTTCAAGCAGTTCCTTCATTCTTCATTATTTTTGTCTTCGGACAGTGTTTTTTGTCAAGCGCAGTTTTGCAGTAATCATAACAAGTAACAAGTAAGAAGTATAGTTTCAAGTTGGCTCAGTGTATTTCTTTCCTATCACCTTTACTCAATCAATTGTCGTAATTTTGTATTTATTATCACTTTTAAGTTTCAATCCACGTCATTCACCACTGACCATCAATAAATCGCCTTTTTTATCAGTAATTGTGGTGTTGAGAAGTTACAATCGCCGCAGTCACAGGTAGATAGGAGAGAAAGCCTATGGTTCTAATAATTATAATAACTTATTTATACTGCAAAAAAAGATTAGCTGAATTGAAATAAAGGCAGCTGGTATAAACCTATGTACAGAGTTGATAAAGTAATTATTTAAAATTAGTGTTAGCAATAGAAAAATTTTTAAAAAAATCAGAAACTTAAAAATCAAAAATATCAAAAATAAATCAAAAATAAAAATAGTGATAATAAAAATAAAAAAATAGATAAAAACATTAAAAAATAGTAATAATAGAAATAAAAAATAAATAAAAACATTTTAAAAAATAAGAAAAATAAAAAAAAATTACAAAAAACCAAAAAAAAATTAAAAAGGAAAAAATAAAAATAAAATAAATAATAAAAAATACAAATAAATAAAAATAAAATAGTAAATATATATATATATATATATGTTGCACGTAAAAATTAAATTCAGGTCAAAAAATTTTAACCAGGTTGAATTTGAATTCACTTTGTCTCGGAGCCCTAATTGTGAATACCATAATTAGGGCTAGGAGACAAAGCAAATTGATTTTTAACCTAGATTAAAATTTTTTTACCTAAATTTAATTTTTACCTGCAACATATATATTTAAAACTAAAAGGTAATATTTGGTTACAACAATAACAATAAAAAACTGTATGCTACATTTGTGCTGTATTCTGTTTTGCTCTAACAAATGCTGAAATGTTTTTGACTTAAGTTCTTAAATTTAGTTCTTTAGCTTGCAATTCCTTAGGTATACATTCCATTCTTTTCCTGCTGCAAATTTAAATGTATACCGGCCCATAGCAGATTTTACTTTAGGCAAGTGAATTTCTTGGGTATCTCTTGAGGACCTGCAACAAAGTTCTGATCTGAAATTCATATAACTCTGAAGTTGCATGGGACAACGGTACTTATAAACAATTCTAAACACTACCTGAAGACACATAAAACTTCGCCTGCTTGATAATGTAAGAAGTCTTTAAATTTGTCTCTCCTCTTTTGAGAGCAAGTCAGATGGTTTGTCTTTAAAGTCACTATTCACCCTTAGAGGTTTATATATATTTTGATTCTTTGCAGTATATGGATTAATCTCCAAAAAAATTTTTTTGATTGATTAAATAATTTACTTCCCGAGATATGCCGCCTCAAAGTTCGTCCTTTGGCCACGCCCTTTTGATTTGGCTGGGCTAAGTTAAAAGCGATAACTAAAACTCCTTCATGTCATCACAGCAAGAATGTCTTTCGATCGATGTGCCTACATTCACTTGAATATGCCTTCAGATGAATCTGGTGTATTTGAGCAACCAGTGACCACGCAACAAGTCAGCATTTTCACATCATTTTACAGCAATAGACACATGTTCTTATACAAGAAGGTATCATTCATTCTTGCTGTGACATCCCTTGGCCCAGTAATTCTCTCCTTGCCAAGTCAAAAGGGCGTGGCCAAAAGAGTAACTTTGAGGCGGCATATCTCAGGAAATATTTTGCAAAAATGTTTTTGGAGATTAATCCTGATAATGCAAAGAATAGAAATATATCTAAACCTCTGAGGGTGAATAGGGACTTTAAGATTATTCTCAAAGCTTTCTTATGTATCCATTCCAAAAATTTGGAGTTCTTCTTGGTGCAGGATCCCCCATAGGCAACATTGTTACTTTATATGTTATATGTCTTTACCAAAGAATATTACAGATTCTCTTGTGCTTGCAAATTCTATTGCACAAGGAGTACATCCCCCTTGTTTAAAATTCTTAGTGCGGTCATTACTGGTACTTATTTAAAATTCCTGTATACTTATTGGTATTTTGTTCACAAAATGGTCTACATCTGGCCAGAATCTGAAATTATCAATTACATCAAAACAACCATGAACACGCAAAGTAGCTACAAGTACATACCACTGGTTCAGGTGAGGAACTGGATGTAAAAAGCCGAGATGCGACATCAAAAACATTGTTTGGGAGTGTCATTGACCTTTCTGATCGCCCACGTTTTGAACGCTTACCAACCTCTCTTTGATGTAATTGTCTAACAGCTTTGAAAAGGGAAACATAAAAAAATCAAAGTTGTGCAGTTAAAGTCCCAAACCATGCTTGAAGGGAAAAACATTGTACATTACTTCACTGATAACCATCTAGATCTTCTGTATGAAGATAACCACACAAAACGCTATCAAAAATATCTATAGACAATTAATCTTAATAAATGATTGGCAGCGATTACTTCAATAGTTTATCTTAAGGATACCCCAGACATCTTAAGAGAGATTCAGGCTTTTAAATTTTCTTCTTTTAATTAGCAGCCTTCTGTAAAACAAGGACACTTAACTTGTAGGTAAATTGATTTCAATCGATAACTTCTTATTGGTGTCACAACAAACCATATCATACAGTTCGTCTTTCACATAACTAGTTAGCTCTTTAGGCTGCTCATCTACCAAGTTAGATTTCAGTTTGCAAAAATCAAATCTCAAAATCCAGTTTACCTGCAGTATTAAATGATGAAGAATGTCCTAAGGGTTTCTTGTTAGTAGTTCCTCTTGGAGGAGGTGAAGGTGTGACCTTGTCATGCTGCTGTCCATCAGGTGACTGTCCATCAGGTGACCTTCCATCTGCCTCGGATTCAGATGCCAGTGCAGATGATCCACCTCTCTTAAATGAGCCACTGTTTTGAATTTTTTTCAATTCTACAGGAGCATCATCTTCTGGACTAAGTAATGCTGACTGTGTGTCAAGGGAATACCTTGTGATATTTAACAACCTTTTGGGGTGTCTTTTAGCCACCAAAACAGGAGATCGAGTATTTATATCCTCTTTGCTTTCATTTATTTCCTCGTCCTTTTGTCCATCCACACAATCCTCTGAAGCTGATTCATTTATTGTAACACCTTTTATTTCAAGCTTGGTAGTTTGTTCTGTGGACACCATACTGTCAACAACAATGACCATGGCTTTTGAATCCTCTCTATTTTGTCCAGAACTGTCTTTGCTTGTTTCATTTGTAAATTCATCACTTGACTCAACATTATGTTCACTCATCATTTCTAACTTTTCAATATTTTTGCAGACATTCTGAAATTCTTTATCAAGATCTGATGTCTCAGATATTGTTTCTCCCAGCTGTTTTCTAGCCTTATCTGAATTGGACTGTACGACTCTGCTATCAGGGGATATCACCTCTCTACCATTTGTTTCCAAAAGTTTTGCGTCTTTTCCATTTTCTGTATTCACTGGTGTTTGTCCAGTATCTACAACTTTCAAGACTCCTTCATTATTTATCAAGCAAAATGACCCAGTCCTTTTAACTGGTTGACTTTCTAAATCATCAACAATTTTAGTGTCATGTGATTCTTCCAGTAGGGCATTTTTGGTGGGATAATTAATGGTATCGGAAACATTTTCACCACCCTGATCTGAATTGCTTGTGGGAACCATTTCATCCTTGGTGGATACTGCTAAAGTTCTTTGGTCATCACATGATTCACCTTCCACCTTTGAAGACTGTTTTGAACTGTTTCCATCATCAATTGAATCATTTGCTGTGATCTCCACCATAACTGGACACACAGAAGGAGGGAAATGAGAAAGCATTTGTATTCCATCATCATCATCATCACTCATAATGTTCAATGGAAATCCTTCGTTTTCTCTTGTAGAATCCTCTACTGTTTTGAAAGTGTTGGTCAACGAGTCTCCTTTGTTACTATCATCCTCAGAATCTGTTGTAACATTCACAATCTGAGTAAAACCTGGGAAAGCTGACAGGATTTCCTCTACACAGAACACTTTATCAATGCAGTTGTCTTGTTCAGTGCCCTGTTCCTGTTAGAATGAAAATTGAGACCGATTCAAATATAAGATTCTACCAATTCACAAGTATAGTCTTCAGACACTGAAATATGTGTGAGCTTTGTGAATTTAAACTTGGTCAGTGGATATTGGTCAAGAAGGTTGTGATTTTTTGAGCTCCGCTAAGTGAGAGCCTATAAAGTGTCTGTTTAGGTAGCCCGCCCAGAATAGCTTTGCTAACTGCGGGCTACAAAAGCCTTTATTTCTCTAATTTAAAAAAAATAAAATAAAGGCAATGTTGTTGTTGTTGTATTTAAAACACTACCTTTCACAATTTATCCTTTAAAGGAAGGAAATGAGGAAACTGAAAGAAAAGGGAGTAACAGGGTATACAGATGCCAGAGGAAAGAGCACAAAACTGACAATTACAAGGGTGAAACTGGATGAGAAGACCAATGTTTCTGTTGTTTGCAAAACAGCAACCCGCAATGTTTCTTATACAGGGCAGGATTATTGTAGAAGTCAAAGGAAGGTGAGTATGTACAGGATGTGGGAGGTTCATCTTCTCATCATCATGTTCTCTTCCTTCCGAGTGGAATTTATTACTGAAAATAAGTGGATTTACCTCATATCAAAAAGCAAGAACAATTCCATTAATCTTGAAATGGGCGCAAAATGAAAAGCAGACAGCACCATTGCGATCACTAACTCGATCATTTGCATTATAGGAAAACTGAAATTGAATTTTTAATTAATTTAATTGCAGCCTGCAGAAATCAAATGAAAGTGTACAATTACACACCTCCTTTATACCACGGGCTTCTTCCGCAAAGCCTACATCATATTCACCCTCAGAGCTTGTATAGGAACTCGAAGACCACTCCTGTTCACTATCACTGAAACAAGGTTCTGTTCCCTCTACTGCACCACTCTCTGTCTCCACCAGCAGATCACTGTCAGGGGAATCAGTTCTGAAAAGGTCAGAAACATTAGCATCATCCTTTAACACAGATGATGTTTTGGTATCGATGGAATCCAGAGAGGGCTCCTTAACGTTTCCGATATTCTCGGAAGACTCTTCCGAAGCTTGAAATATTGATCTCTGTTTAGTCTGGTCAGACTTCTGGAATTCACAAATTTCTTCACAGTCTACGGTCAAAGCAGTTGCCTCTTCACCTTCGTTGCTGCTTTTACCGTTTATTAAAGCAGAGCCATCAATGTTTTCAGACTGCGTTGAAGTTCCTTCCACAATTTCCGCAGCTTCAGGCAGTGTCACAGACTTATCTTGGTAAGTTTCCGCCTCCTCTCCGGCTGAGAAAAAAGATTCCTCATCTTGAGGACTTACGCACTCTTCTCGTGAATTTTCGAAGCCATGAGGGAGCTTCTTACCGTCTTCACTCGCGTTCCTTAGGTTTGAGTCTTTTTCAGTCTCTGCATTTCCATTTGAACTCAGCACTGATTCGGTATCATTTGCACTAACAGCTACATCATGCGACCCTGCGAAGGAATTTACGACGCAAGTCCCATTGGAACCTGTATTGCTCGAGCAAATTTCACCCACACAGCTGTCTTTTAAAACTCCATTCTTTGTTTCAGGTGATTTAGTATCTGTCACTTCTCTCTCTGATAAATTTTTTTCATTCACAGGCTCTCTGTTTTCTTTTACATCTTGTTTCAGCGATTTCTCTACTGCTTGCGTGTGTGTACCGCCATAACTGATCGTTGAACCTTGGCTGCAGGCAGGAAGAGACGAGTTATCGCCTGTTTTATTGCGTTTTTCAGCTTTCTTTCGACGTGCCGGGGGAGTAACCTTCGCCACTTCTGATTCCACCAGTATGTTTTCTTTTACTTTGGATGTTATTATTAAATTTTGCTCCCTATCCATGACTGTTTCCTCTGTAGCTCAACGAGAATGTCAACCAAAACATGGAAACACCAGAACGGATACGATTGATAAGTTGATTGCCTCTCCCTTCGCTGGGCTATTGCAAAATACACAGACACTCTAAACAATTATTTAGATTAAAATAGGATTCATCAATCCAAATTACCATCTTGTAAACAAACCCAAATTTCCCGTTACATCACATTGCGATCAAAACTTTTCGACTCTTGCTGATGAATGCGTGTAGAGTCACGTGCACATGAGCGGAAGTTATCCAGGGTGGAACGGAAGTGAGTAATAAAAACACCTGATTGGTGGAAAATCAAGGGTACATTGGCCTGATAGAGAAGGTGCAAGCATATGAGTTATGTTCGTCCAGTCCACTGTTTGTGCTTGAGTGTTTTGTGCTTGGGTGGTTTTCTGTTCGTACCTGCAATCTTCATATTTTCGTTGCCAAGTGAAAAGGTAAGACGTTTGCTTTCACGGAGTTTCACAATGATCGGTAATACATTTGCATCAAGTTTCACCTCAGTAAAAATAGCGTCCATCTTTCTTTTGCTTCCATTATTTGTTCGGTCAAAGTGTAAGGTATGTCCGCGCATTTTAAATAAGTTTGTTATTTGCATCGCATAGGTCACGCTTCTTAAACGACAGGAGAATTGCAAAATCATTCCTTAGATTGAGCTTTTTGCTTGTTATTGTTACAGAAATGTGAGATTGTGTTGTGTCCATTGATTGAACAAACAGAACTCACATTTCACATTTCACATTTCAATGATTAGTATGGAGAAGAGCTCTTAGCTGCAGTCTTCAAAAAGTTGTATAATAATTTAATTTTACAGGTTCCATATTGTGTTCATCCGATGAATCGCTTACCTTCCTATCCTTATCGCTTCACGAGATAAATTTTGAAGAAATTCTACCTTGAAACTGTTGTTTAAACAAAGCCGATAGCAAAATACCTTTTCTGGCAAGTTTGTCTATTACTATTACACATACATTTCTTCAAATCGATAACATGAGAGGGTCAGGTTAAAATTCAATTGTTTTCTTAAAGCTGGCCTTCCTATATTTCTCTCCATTAATAGGTAACATAGAAGTGTTATGTTCTGCTAAAGCATTGTATTATAATTAGGGTAGATTTCCCTGCTCAGTATTCCATAAATTTACCACCTTATGCATCTGGATTGTGACTTATTTCAAGCGACTACTAATTCTAGCTAATTTGCAAAAGCAACCAAGAGCTCGCTAAATTCAATATGAGTGAAGGAACCATAAATCATATCGGACTTGCAGATGACTTCCATGAAGTGTGCCCTCCACAAACAGTGGTTGAACAAGTTCTTTTCAACTTTCTGATGCCCAAAGTTTTGTGTCTAAGAAACTGATGTCACTGTGTCATGTTGTTAGGTGGAGCCACCACTTTACAAGAAAAAGCTCCACTGGTACTTGAAAATCTGCAGTGAGTAATAAAATATTAATGCTTTCTTACAAAGGGCAGGAAGCAAACCACATGACTCTGCAGGAGTAGAAACACTTTGCTAGTTTTGTCTGAGAAAATGCTCAGCAATATGATACAAAATTGTAATTATAATGAAAAAGAAAAAGTGAAGAAAAATAATGACAAAATATGTTAATTTATAGGTTTATGATTGACTGAAAATAAATAATTGTCTATGTATTAAATAAAAATTTCTTTAGCAGTCAGACTTGGTGAAGAATTTAACGTTTAATTGTTACGCTTGAATGGACAGAAAAAATTAAGATTTGCCATCAAATCTTGATAAGTGTTGATTATGAGAAGCAATGGTTGGATTGAAATTAACAGTCACAAATGTAAGAAATATAAAAACTGATTAAAGTAGTGTGGTATACAAAGTTGCTGCATAGATATACTTGTTGTAATAACAGTCTGTATAATTACAAGTGGAGAGAAGTGGACAGAAAATTGTCAAAAAGCTTTTTTTGTTCAGATATGAGAAACTTGAAATAAAATAAACTAATAATACATGGGAAATAGTCTCAGTTGAGGGAATGAATGAATCATTTACCATGAAGGAAAAAGGACTAGAACTGACCCTTAGGAAGATGAGCTTTGTAAACATGTTTTTTTCTCTTTCTAATGGTAGCTGGCATGAAGCTGGCATGGCTCCCTAAATTATGTTGGAGTAGGCATGAAAGGAATTTTGTCAACACATTTACCACTGGTTATGCCAACATGAGAAGATTCAAGATACATGCATGGAAATGACATGTTAGAACCTTTCTCAGAGCCCAAGTGGTTTGATTCAAATGTAGTAAAGCATTTTCTTCTACAACATTTTGGAGAAGTGTTCCCCTTCTAAAAGGTAGAACCTTTTACCAAGTTGGTACATTGTAGTGGAGATATATTTAGCTGACTGTATATAGCATGTTGAGTGGAGGAACTTCTCTAGATTGAAGTTTATAAACACCAATTTTTTATGTTGTAGTACAGCTAAAATATGTCTGCGAGAGGTGCACGTTTGGAATATGTGGGAGACTTGGATCTGCGTCAGGAGCAATGGGCTGCTTCCCAGGCTTCAAATTATCTGGACTTCATGGCCAACCTTGATATTGACCGTGATCCCCGCACCATTCGTAACTCTGGCCTGATCTGTACTTTAGGTAGGTAACAATCTGGGTGCACGTGTTCAAAATGGCACTGACACGCCATTTGAGGATTGATATTTAAACTTAGTTTTGAATTCTCTTCCAGAAAAGCATATATTTTATATAAATGTTTTACAATGTTTTATTTTGGTGTAGGGCAAAACTCAAATTTATTAAATTTGTCTGCTGAAAACTCTCTGCCAAGCTTTTAATGAAAAGAAAAATTTAGCCCTGTTGGAATAATTTGGTCTTTTATTATGAATCACAATTTAGTATTTTCTTGTGCCTTGAATGCTGTTCTGTAAATTAGTTACAAAGAAGGGACAGAAAGTGATCTAATTGTCAGACAAATGAATAAAGGCTGATAGTTTCTAAGGAAACTGTTTGGGGCTGCGTCGGTGGGGGTAACGAAATAATTTGAATGTATCAACAAAGTTGAAATGGTAAATTGGCCACCGGTGGCCAATTTACCATTTCAACTTTGTTCATATATTCAAATTATAATTGTTAGACAGTATGTTAGACTCCTGGATAAAGCAGCCAGGTTTAGAAGGAAACTTTTTTCTCCTGGAGGGTGGTAAATTTACAATACATTTAGCTCAGTATTTTTGTGTTTGAAGTCAGCTTTGATTGGTGAACCTTAGTATTAGACTCTGAGGACTAAACTACAGAGTTAAGGGCTTATTAATTAGAGCTTTGTTGTGACATCTGTTGTTTTTTGAAATGTTGTCTGGTATTGAAATTGATAAAAGTAAATTGATAAAGGTTTTAATTTGATAAAGTAAGTTTCTATTTTTCAAATTTGTTGTTTCATATCTTTAGGGCCAGCTTCAAGGAGTGTGAAGATAATTGCCCAGTTGATTGAGAATGGCATGAATATTGCAAGATTGAATTTCTCTCATGGGACTCATGAGGTATTCTTTTTTAGCAAGTGTTTTTGTTTTGTTTTATTTTTTTGTACATCCAGGATGAAATATTTATGAGTGGTAATATTTGTACAGATTTAGGAAGATTCTTCTTTGTGCAGGATGGCGGGGGTAAATAGGACAAAGCCGATTGCTAGAATGATTTGCCTCAAGGGTTAGACCCATGAAATTTTCCTTCTTCTGTTGTAAAGTTAATCTTGATTTGCATGTTTTACACACTATTTAAAATGTTTATATTTTCATCATATTACATGTAAACTCATAATAAAAGGGATGTCTCCCTTTTAGTCCTTGAAAAGTATTGTGATGGGAAATATCTGATATAAGAAGCCTCCCCCCAGTATTTTTGCACTCCAAGATCACTTAATTAAATGCCTGTCTTTCTGGAATTTCCAACATTTCCAGTATCATGCAGAAACCATTGAATTGGTAAGGAAAGCAGCAGTTGAAGAATGGCCTCATGCTGTTGCTGTTGCACTTGATACTAAAGGACCAGAGATCAGAACCGGGCTGTTGAAAGGGGTGAGTGCTCTGGAGAGCTGCTTGTATTTTTAATTTGATTGGACTTTGCACCATTATATATATAAAGCCGTGGCTGGAGTTGTGGTCATAAAGCCTGTCTCCACCAAGGGGGGTCTCATGGGTGCTTGGTGACAATCATAGTGTGTGTCGCTGAATGCTTTGCAGAAGGTTTGACTGCTCCAAGATGGCTGGAAAGCCCTGCTTTCTTATTTTTTGCTTCCCTAGCTTCATTTTCTATATAAATCTTCCATTAAAATAGTTAGATGTACGCAGGTCAGATTTGTCAGCAAAGCTTCTTATCAAGAAATACTGCAGTAGCGATGAGTAGGAGGAGGTTGCAGTACTTCTCTCTCATTGCTGTGTGCTAGAAAGAGACACCCAGTAGTCTTATAGTCAGTGCGCTGAACTCTGGTGGAGAAGTCTGGGTCTAAAAGCTGGCCAGGACATTGTGTTGTGTTCTTGGGAAAGATACTTAACTCTTAAAGTGCCTCTCTCCACCTAGGAGTAGGACTGGGTACCAGGGAATTGTCAGGGAAGCCTGATGAAATGGTCAAGGGGAACCTTACGATGGACTAGCATCTCATTCAGGGGGGAGTAGTGGTGAGCCACTTGGCTTGAGAACAGAATTTATCTTATTGTACTTCATGCTTGAGAAACTACAAGTACAAAGTAGTGCAAGCAACAATGAACTGCTCTCCTCCCTTTTTATTAAATAACCGACATGTCTTGTTTTGTTTATTTACAGGGTGGCACTGCAGAAATTTCTTTGTCCAAAGGTGATATCCTAAAACTTACCACAGACAAGGCTTTCTTTGCTGAAGGAGACAACACAACCCTTTATGTAGACTATGAAAACATCACAAAAGTAATGAAGGAAGGTGGAATTATATATGTAGACGATGGACTGATTTCACTTAAAGTGAGGGAAATAGGTTCAAACTATCTTCTGGTTGAAGTGTTGAATGATTCTAAACTTGGGAGCAAGAAGGGTGTTAACCTGCCAAATGTTGAAGTGGATCTACCAGCTGTATCTGAGCAAGACAAGAAAGATATACTTTTCGGTGTGAAACATGAGGTAGGACTTCATTCATTTATTTGCTTTTTGATTACCATACTCATATGCTGTGGTTTACTTCTTAAAATGAGAGTTCTTAATGATGCCTTAAATATTCAGCTTTGTTTCGGGATAATGGTTTGCGCACTTGTTTACCAATCGATTTCCTTTTTCTAACCTTTTTTCCCAAGATCAGCTCGTGAATGGGTCGCTTTTCTGATAACTAGACCGGTCAGTACAGGAAAAGCTAAACTTATTTTCTAGGGTGATAACTTAGCTCTCTTAAATTCAAAGCCTGTAATATGAAGATTTCAGTTCCAGATACTAGTACTTAGTGTTTATAATGTAACTATATACTTTTTTTGCAGGTTGACATGATATTTGCCTCGTTCATTCGTAAAGCTCAGGATGTTCACGACATCAGGCATCTTCTTGGTACAAAAGGTCAAGACATCAAGATCATTGCCAAGATCGAAAACCACGAAGGAGTGAAAAAATTTGACGAGATTATGGAAGCCGCTGATGGCATCATGGTGGCCCGAGGAGATCTGGGAATTGAGATTCCTCCAGAGAAAGTCTTTTTAGCTCAGAAAATGATGATTGGTCGTTGCAATAAAAACGGAAAGCCAGTGATCTGTGCTACACAGGTAATCTCCATGGAAAAATGAACAGAGGGCAAAGATGCAAATCTTTACATGTACGCTACTTGATTTCAATAAGGAATTGGCTAGCTAGACAAAAACATTCCTACGAAGATTTTTTAGATCTTAGGTGAAATCACATCGAAAAGCTACAATGAAAATGGCTCAAAACTGAACAATCACTAAGATAAATAATTATTCTTTCCGAGGAGAGACGATGAAGGCTGGGAACTAGATGGTCGAGAATTAGATGGTACATCGAAAAAAACAAATGTTGGAAGAGATTTGTAAAGAAAAACGTAGTGAATACCATTTCCTGGGTAAAAAAAAATATATTTTCAAGCGGGCGCTTATTGGCAATCAAGAATTTTTGTTTCAGCTGCCAAATGAAACAATTTGCACACTTAAAATTCGATTCGTAAAACTTTCACATCATTGCCAAATGCAACAAAGCAAAGTTTAAGAGGTATTTCTTCACATAAAACACAATTTCTTCTTACGAAGAATCACTCGTTGAGTCTTTTAAAGCGCAGGCTTCGTTTTTTGAGCGCTGGTTTACATGAGATTTGACAATACCTAAAGTCAGTCACCAATAGTCAAATTTTAGTCGCTGGTCGCAAAACCAAGTTTTTGTACTGCAAAAACCCAAAGGCTGGTCCGCCCAAACAGGAACGAAACCTTAATGCTTTCTGTCAGAAGGGAACTGTCAGTTCTCTGTTTTGATAGATAAAGATTGAAACCCATCAACGAAAAATGTACAAAGAGTTATTTTTTTTTTCCTGTGGGCTCAATAGATAAAGAGAAAATGGAGGTATTTTGCTGCCCCGATTCTGATGCTCCACTTCCTGTAAATTAAGTAGCGCTGAAGAAGTACCGATACTAGTTCGCGTATTGCGAGTTTGTTGTAAACACGTTATGTTTGAAATGTTGCCACTAAATAGCATGTTTTGTTTTTCCCACAGATGTTGGAAAGTATGATCAAAAATCCTCGTCCAACTCGCGCCGAGAGTTCAGATGTGGCTAATGCCATTCTGGATGGAGCAGATTGTGTTATGCTCTCAGGTTCGTGTTACTGAATTCAACTACTCAAAACAGCAAGCTAGAAACCACTTCATTCGGCTGGAACGAGGCAGGTATTTTGCGCGGGAAAACTCACGTGAGCCATGAAATTTTGAGTGACTGAGTAGACAGTGTGTACTTTATGATTGGTTAAAACATTTGCCGTCAGTTTCTCGTGCAATAGCGCTTTTCGATTTAGTGTACAATGTAGTCAATCACAGTTTCCAATCAGAGCAAGGAAATGTCACAAGGCGCCATAGATAAAACAAGCCAACTGCCTGAAGCGGCATAAATTCAAGTAACCTTGTCCCTATAGGCTGCAGTTTTGTGTACGAGTGGCTGAGAGTAACGATAGTTCTCAAGCGCAAGCTCACGGCGAAGCAAAGCAAAACCAATGGTATTGGCTGAACTCGGCACTTTCGACGACACTCATCTAAAAATTGGTCTCTGTTATGTGCCGAGTGAGTTAGCTGTTTATCGGTAAACTACACTAATTCACAAATAACCAAACAAGTCTTGATTCAGCGTCGCCTTAGAAAATAACTAGTAATTAATATTTGTGCGAGAGGGAGGCAACACTGCTCGGTTCTATTTGTTTTCACTCGCTCTGAGGAAGGGCTAGCGCTCGAAACGTCATCTTTGAAACTCTTTACGGTGGCCAAATTACATTATTAACTCAGTTGATAAAACCACAATTACCTTAATACTTTCACCGACGCAGCACCACAGTTTCTTGAGAAACTTGCTCCTTTTATCTATTTGTTCTCAGTTTTTTTGTTCGTTGTTATTTTTTTTACTCAAGGCGAGACAGCTAAAGGCATTTATCCAGTGCAAGCTATCGCCATGATGCACAAGATTTGCCGTGAAGCAGAGGCTGCCATTTATCATCGTCAATTGTTTGATGATCTAAGGCATACGATGAACAGAGTGGCGGATACACACGAAACCACAGCCATTGCTGCTGTGGCTGCATCATTCACAGCAAATGCAGCCTGTATAATTTGCCTTACACACACGGGAAAGTAAGTCAATCTTGTTCAGCATGTAAAGTGCATTTCGATTTTGTTATCCAACTAAAACCTAACTAATTGCAACGCTCAATCAATGCAAAGGAAGATGTCAGAATGAATCAACGAGATCTTAAAGTAAATTAATGCAAACTGTTTGAAGGAAGAAAAAAAGTGGCCAGTAAGTTTTGTATTTTACCTGATTGGTGGAGAGAGTTATAAAGCCAAACCTATACAATGGCAGGGTTTTTTTTTTTCCTTGCTCAGCTAAAAATCATGACTTCTTTCCCCCTACTTTTGATGACTTCGTAAGCAGACTAGTTGTATGTAACTACAAGATGCACTGCAGTACACAATGTATTGTTTTACTCGAAGGACCGTTCACAATCGAGTCAGAAGCAGTTCCAATTATATTTTTATTACGAGCCGTTATTGAATTCTTTCTCATCGGACTGTAGAAAACCGAGATTATTTTACACCCCCATGTGGAAAGGTGTTTCGATGCCGATTGCCCTCATGCGCCGAAGTGGATCGAGGTCCACAAGAGTGTTATCATATGCGTGCTTGTTCACGTGTTATACCACTTGTGCACGTGAAAGGATCACAGGCTCTTGAATTATCGCTCGTGGTGTGTAACTTCACAAAACATATCAGAAGATAAAAACTTTTTACATCGCATATTTTTGAAATTACATTCACTGGTTTTTGCTCTGTCTGTTAGGACTGCTGAAGTTGTGTCACGATTCCGGCCTCGTTGTCCAATTATAGTTGTGACACGTGATGCGCGTGTGGCCCGACAGATGCATTTGTACCGAGGGTGCTTTCCTCTTATTTACGACAAACCTCCCCAAGACAATGTACTGGAGGAACATGACGAGAGACTCGAGTTCGCGTTGGATATGGGAAAACGGATGGGCTTCTTGAAACTTGGCAATGCGTTCGTGTTCGTATCTGGGTGGAAGGCTGGTGCAGCTCACACAAACACTATCCGTATACTGACTGTTATGGAGGAAAAGATTCACATTGCCAAGAGCTTGTCGGAGTCCGCTGACCTTAAAGGAAAAATGCAGATTCCTAAGTAGTTTTCAACATTGCTACCTACACTAGCTGTGTTGAATCCTAATTCACTGTTTTGTTGTTGTGTTCAGGGTGAAATTAGCTTTGCTGACTAGGATGGTTTTCCGTATCCTGATTGATTTTTCTCCTATAAGCAGAGTGAATTTTGGAAGGAGCTTTATATTGATCATTGCTTTCGATAGCTTTGCTTTCATTTTTTCCAATGTTTAGTTGTCTTTTTTTTTTTTTTTTTTAACGTGTTTCGTGGATGTAGTTAAGTCAAAGCTCTAGAAGTGTAACAAACTTTTCAGTGATAACGTGACTAGGTGTTAGGCCACCGAGAGAGAAATCGTGCAGATTTGTTGTGAATATACTGTGAGCGAAAAACATGTTTTCTGGTGAGAAAAGAGTGAGACAACCGAGATCTGAATAGGTGACGATATTGATTTTGAGGAAACTCTGTTATGATGTCGAAAAAGGAATCAACGGCCATCAATTTTTAGGACAGAAGACTCGCTAAATACTGAAGGCTGATATCAATAAATATTAACTGATGTTTATGACGGATCAAAATAAAGATATGAACCAAAGAGACTCTTTAATGTTGAGCCTTTTCCGGGAGCTTCTGCCATAAACTGATTTTTTTAATTTCACGAGGTCTTTTAAGTTTTACAAACCTCTGATTTTAACTTGTGAAATCAAGCCAAAGTTTTAAATTTTTTTCCATTGTAGATTGTGGTGCTTAAATTAAATACGCTAACCTTTACACATTTTATCGAACGCAATTTGAAATTGCTTTCTTTATTGACGTAGCTTTAACTTGCGTTTGTTTACTTTAAATCTAGGAAAATAAAAATGAAAGTTCGCGATTACTTGAACCCTGTGTAAAATTGAGAAAGCAAAATGTCCGTAACGATTAGAACAACGATATTAAATTTCCCTTAAGTGTCTGCATCCGCTCACCCTCCCTCATTTAAATACGTTAAGTAGTAAGGGACGAGATGAATGATTGCGAGAGCGGATTAAGGACTCATTATAACGAAGTATATCATCTGTGTCACGATGTAGTCTCTTCAGATGTCAATTGAGATGTTTCCAGACCGCGAATCTTCTTCAGTGGATGATGTTATGCTTCACCGTATGAGACGCAATTTTCTGAGATGTTACCCCCGTTTTCGGGAAAAAAAGAACTCTCACAATTTTTTACAGGTTGATGACAAAGGTTTGTGTTACGTGTATGGGTATTGAAACAGTTTTGCCCATTCTTATCATCAATAATAACTCTAATGTTGCTGTCGAGTTCGACATTTTATGAACAACCAAAATAAAACTAAGGAGTATATGGGCCGGGATTTATTTGTGACCGACACTGCGTGACATCTGCTCCGAGAGCTCTCCTGGCAACGGCTTGTAACGTACATTCGTGCATCTCTCGCCATCACTGAGTTGTTTGGGTAAGGAACATCTCCAAAGCAGCAGAGATGCTGAAAACTGTCAAAGAAAACTAGCAGCAGGGTTTGAATTGCCTGCACGATTTTCTTTTCTTCGCTTAGCTCGTCTGTTCTTCAACCATGTCTGAAATAAAGGCTGATAGTTTCGAAAGAAACTGTTTGGGGCTGCGTCGGTGGGAGTAACGAAATAATTTGGATATATCAACAAAGTTGAAATGGTAAATTGGCCACCGTAACGATTACAAAAGCTGACGATTCGAGTGTTAGCCCTTCGCTCCGACGAAGGGCTAACGCTCGAAACGTCAGCTTTTGTAATCGTTACGGTGGCCAATTTACCATTTCAACTTTGTTGAGATATCCATGTCTGAAATAGATTGATCGGGAAAACACGTTTCGGAGATTTTTGCCCCAAGGCCTTGTTAGGTTAGTGGCTGCCTACAAGACGTGGCACTCGTTCGTTTTGGGAGAGAAAACTAGTTGCATTTTGAGCGTGTTAAAATCTTATTAAATTGAGTCTAGCCTCGTTGTTTTGGTTAATTTAACATTTTGAGGTGGCATCTGTGCCGTGGGAACAAATTTTGTCAATCTTTTCACACTCGGCTAATGCAGAGGCCGTGACGTAACACTTTTCCATTTGTTGGATATTAACTCCTAACAATTTTACCAACACGAATTGACCGAATCACCGATTCACCATTTTGTACTTTATCCATTAACATTCTTCGGAATCAGCATATACGACGTTTCTCTGCACATAGTCAGCTCTAGCTTTCATTCATTTTTGCTTTCATGAGCTGCTGGGGTTGGACTGTTTGCGTTTCTACGCTTTATAAAAGAGGAAATATAACGTTTATCTTACCAGAATGACTTCTCGAGAGATCCCCAATTTCTGTGATAATGATTGAGGTATCTTTAGTAAAATGTACTGTGATTGGCTAAAAATGTTTTCCAGCTCTTTCCGTTGATAAGCAGTAAACTGGGTTCTCCGTTGCCTGATTGGTTCGCCAGGATGATGTCCTAACAATCCTTGTGGCTGCTTAGATGGAGTGGTCGAGAAATTCTAGATCTTAATACTTTTTTGGATATTTAGTCTATTTTGGAAAATTTCTCTCAATGTTTCATCAGGGTTTCAAACCACAGGCGTCTCATGTAGATTGGATGATCCCCTATGAGTACTTGACGAGTTTGAGCAGTGACTATCCTAACTTCGGCAGACCTTCAGATTTTCCCATTGTATTTTTATAACCAGCTGAACCACAAAAACGCTTAGGTTTGTGTAAGATCTTAAACACGAAGGCGCGCTATAAAAGGAGATCGAGGTCCCTTAGGAGCCTGGAAGACGAACAAAAGGAGTTAATGAGATGTTTACTTCCACCAGCATGGTGGAATGATGTAACGTGCGAACCACCTACTTCGATTTCAAATTTATAGCTACAAATAAAGACAGTTTCCATTGGAGAAAGGAAATACAAATCTCAAAAATTCTTGTATTGTGATGAAAACATAAAACAATTTTGAAGAATGCGCCCGCTGTTCACTGCTTTGGATTAGCTATAGCTCAAGCTGATTTGACTCTTAGAGTTCTAAATCACACGACGGTTGATTGACAACTGATCCAGAGGTACCTAAGGCACCTCTCCTTTTATAGCGCGCCTTCGTGTTAAAAGCCAAATTTGTTAGTCTCTTTGCGTGTGTTCTAAGTGCTATGCTTTTAGAGTAAGTTTTTTCCTACCAGTTTCCAATCCCGCCCATTTACAAACTTGACAACAAGCAAATCCGTGAAGCATCTCAATATCATCACGGTCGAAACGGCTAAACCATGTTCCACTAAACCGAATAATTTGAACTCAAACCACGTCTCTCGTGAAATCAGCCTTCAGCTTCCGGAAGAATTTCAGTTTCTCTCACTAATGCCTCGATCAATTCGAAGCTTCAACATTCCCCCGGGTAACCGCCGACATTTGAACTTTTGAACATTGGTTCCTTCAGCCTGAACACGATATTATAGCAGTATTAGCATAACATTAGTATTTGTATGTAGTTCTAGTATTTATTTTAATTTATTTCAATAGTTGTATTAATTATTACTGTGTTATTTTATTGTGAAGCGCATTTGAACATTGCACGGAATTTGCGCTATACAAATTAATATTATTATTATTATTATTGTGAAAAAATTTTAAATTAAAATTCCAATTTTTTTTACCTTTAATCATATCAGTATCCTGACTGATGCTATTTCCATTCTTTTCGATAAAAAAGAATGTTTTTTTCCTTACATTAGTCAACAATTTTCCTTACCGAATATTTAGTTTCAATCTAGAGGGTTTACTTTTACTGATTACTAAGGGAAAATAATTGGACAGCTTTGTCCCTTTATCTTCTCTTTTTTTTACGGATAAAATTCATTTTCCAATGCCTTAAGTTATTTTCCAAGAATTGTGCGAAATTTTAATTTTGATTTACATGATTTTTCCGGTATCGTTGTCAGTGTAAACTCAATTGACCAAACAAATCAGTAGTGCATGGTTTACAAACTAATATGGAAGAATTCAAAAACTGAGACGTTGAAAATTATGGAAAAGTGAAGCTTTTCAAACGCAAAAGAGTTGCCTAATGTATCCCTTTCTTTCGTTCTCTCTGTTGACAAATCTCTTTGAGAGACTAAATCAACACTTTGCTCTGACAAAGGGCTAACGCTCGATTTTTTTTTTCTCATTCGTCAGTTTTTTATCAACTTCGGGTTTTTAATCAAGTTTTAGTCGGTAATTAACAGGAAACAAGCTCCGAGGAATTAATCGTACTCTTGCCATAAAACACTTTTTCTGTCTTTTTTTTTTTTATTGTTGTATTTTTTTTTTTTTTTTTGAGTATTCGTGCCTCACTGTTTGTAACTTACATTCATGTTCGCTAGTTCCAGCGATCCTCTGATCCTGATGCTGACTGAAGCTGGAGCGAGAATTTACCTTTGGCCTGGAAAATACATAAGTGGTGCTCGCTGCCATTGATGGAAAGGTGAGTGTAGAAAACTCAATGCGCTTTAAGAAAGTAATGGTAAGTAACACTCGTTATGTCAGATTTTTATTGCTGGTGGTTTTCTCATAGATCATCCATAGTTTGTAGTTTTGTAGCATGCTATGGTGATGATGTCCAGGTATATATATAAGTTATCAGTTTTACCATAGTTAGTCTACTAACTATGGTTTTAACCTCGGCAGAACACAATTAAATAATGTGAAAGACGTAAANAGTCAAAAATCGGTCTTCTACTTTCTCAGTTGCTCGCTGAAACTTTAACAACCGCTCAAACAATCTATCTTTACCAGGGCACAACGATGAACATGTGAAACATTTTGAGCTCTCATTGACAAATTTCTTCAGTGTTTCTCCCGACATGATAGCTAGATCATCTGCCACATCCGCATTTTCGCGTGAAACCTTACGTCATTCAGATTTTCTGGTATGTGATTGGTCTGTTCAATAGACCGCGAAAAAACCGCAAGGACGATGAGAAAGGAATGTAACTCGGTTGTCAGCAGCCGTTCTTTTGGGAGAGCGTTGCGTGACATCCAAAAAACGGCTGCGAGGAAGACTACTTCAGACGCCACTTTAGTCTGGGATTTTTTTAAGGTTTTCTAACCTTTTGAGACTTTTAAAAAGACTATTTGCATAGAAAACGGTCTGAATGGGTCTCGTACAGTTGCTACTCTGAATGGATGGGCTTGAAAGACTTTGCATATGACTTATTATTTAGTTTTTCTTTTCTATGGATTTAAATAACCCCAACTATATCTAAGGCTTAATCAAACGCCAATCAGAGGCAAGTTTCTCTCTCCTTGTCACTCCGTTGCATGAAATATCAAGAGGACAAATAAATTGCCATTTAAACAGCTACTTTATTGTCAAAACATCCCAGTGAGTGTAGAAAACTCAATGCGCTTTAAGAAAGTAATGGTAAGTAACACTCGTTATGTCAGATTTTTATTGCTGGTGGTTTTCTCATAGATCATCCATAGTTTGTAGTTTTGTAGCATGCTATGGTGATGATGTCCAGGTATATATATAAGTTATCAGTTTTACCATAGTTAGTCTACTAACTATGGTTTTAACCTCGGCAGAACACAATTAGATATTATAGCAGTATTAGCATAACATTAGTATTTGTATGTAGTTCTAGTATTTATTTTATTTTATTTCAATAGTTGTATTAATTATTACTGTGTTATTTTATTGTGAAGCGCATTTGAACATTGCACGGAATTTGCGCTATACAAATTAATATTATTATTATTATTATTGTGAAAAAATTTTAAATTAAAATTCCAATTTTTTTTTACCTTTAATCATATCAGTATCCTGACTGATGCTATTTCCATTCTTTTCGATAAAAAATAATGTTTTTTTTCCTTACATTAGTCAAAAATTTTCCTTACCGAATATTTAGTTTCAATCTAGAAGGTTTACTTTTACTGATTACTAAGGGAAAATAATTGGACAGCTTTGTCCCTTTATCTTCTCTTTTTTTTACGGATAAAATTCATTTTCCAATGCCTTAAGTTATTTTCCAAGAATTGTGC